TGAAGGAGGGGATGATGGGAGATGCAACAGGGAACAAGATCTGAGCTGTTTAGGGCTGGGAGACAAAAGTCAATGCCGGGATTCAAAGGAGGAATCGACATGGTTAGCTCAGTGAGTGAGGGAGAGGATGTTACCAGCTGTATTCTAGGCAGTAGACGCTCTTTTCCGGCTTTTCTAAAAGCCGGAAAAAAGCGGCGGACATTTTTATTTAAATGCCGCGGGGGATATTTAAATCCCCCGCGCATTTCCCTACTACGATGGCTGAAATTAACATGCCCCTTCCGGAAAAGGGGCCAGTGTAGACATAGCCCCTATGTTCTAATAGGACCAAGGGAGGAGTGTGTGTGTTGGAGGAGTGGGAGCAGTAATGTATAGATAAAGAGATGCTGCCTGTGGTATGTATGGTCCAAACTGGCTAAGGACCCTGACCTCCACTGGTATCAATCTACTACTTTTTGCCAGCATTAAATTCTCCTCTGAATTAAAAATATACAGTAATAGTTATTTGAACTTAAAGCTGCCAAACACAAATCTATAGGCCAAGGTACGTACATGTTCTCCTCCTTGGCCTCCCTGTTGTGTTTCCCAGATCTCTTACCTCAAGACTGCCTAGAATACAGCTCACACGTCCCTCCCCACCTCTGCTGCCTCTGTATCTGAGACAGCAGCACTGGTGGAGGAGGCAGTTGGCTTTCCAGGAACCAGTGCTCATGGGAGCTGGCTTTTACCTCCCCAGGAGCCTCTGTGGGGGCTGGTACATGCTGGGAGCCAGCCTAAAAGATGACTCCCCATGAGCACTGGCTCTTGCCTCCCCTTCCCGTCTCTGATACAAAGGCAGGTGGGGCAGAGGGCTGCGTGTAACTGTGAGGATTAACTAATGACCACAGGTTCATCGGTTAACCGTGTACATGGGAACACTTTCACATCCGTAATATGAATGGGCAGGGGTGGGAGCCTGCCCCACTGGGACTGGGATGGTGCACGGCGTGAGATGCAGCGTAGAAGGCTTGGCAATTGAAGGAGTGGTGATGCTGACATTGGTAGAGTGAAGGAGGGGATGATGGGAGATGCAACAGGGAACAAGATCTGAGCTGTTTAGGGCTGGGAGACAAAAGTCAATGCCGGGATTCAAAGGAGGAATCGACATGGTTAGCTCAGTGAGTGAGGGAGAGGATGTTACCAGCTGTATTCTAGGCAGACTTGAGATAGGAGATCTGGAAAACACAACAAGGAGGCCAAAGAGAAGGATGTGTACATGCCTTGGCCTATAGGTTTGTGTTGGGCAGCTTGAAATATAAATAACTACTTAGGTGGCTGCACTTCCTGCTTGCTATGCTTGCCAACCCCCCTCTCAGCCAGGGAGGGCTCCCCCAACCCCAGCTCTTCCCTCCTACCCCTGGCCGCTAGGGACGGTGCAGCCCTGACGTTGCCTTGGTTCTTGGGCCCCATGTGTACATGCCTTGGCCTATAGGTTTGTGTTGGGCAGCTTGAAATATAAATAACTACTTAGGTGGCTGCACTTCCTGCTTGCTATGCTTGCCAACCCCCCTCTCAGCCAGGGAGGGCTCCCCCAACCCCAGCTCTTCCCTCCTACCCCTGGCCGCTAGGGACGGTGCAGCCCTGACGTTGCCTTGGTTCTTGGGCCCCTCATATGGCCCCAGCTCTTCCCCCCCCCCAGCAGCCAGGGGGGCGGGCCCAGGGTGTTCCAGCGCCAACTCC